ATTAATAGGTGACCTTAGTCAAAGTCCTTTGTGTCTCAAGGACTCTCACACTGCTAGAAGAGGGGTTCAGAATGAGAAACAATTCTTTTCCAGTTTTGTCTCTGTGAAATTTTACACCATATCAAAACATCTTTCGCTGGCTCTGTTTGTTTTGTTTTTTTCTCCCAAGCAACTATCATTATCAAAAATTCTACAGAAATGAGCATAAAATAATAAAATAGTGTTTTCTGCTTTTATTGTTGACATAAAACACCATGATGAAAAGCAATGTGGCAAAGAAAGTATTTTATTAACACTTATATATCATGGATCAAAGGAAGGCAGGCAGGAGCTCAGATAGGAGTGGTGTCTGAAAGAGAACATGGAGGAATGTTGCTTACTGGCTTGCTGCTTTTTATTTATTTATTTATTTTACATCCAGATCAAAGATTCCCTTCCCACCTCACCTGCCACTCCCTCTCTTTCACCTCCCCTCTTTCCATGCTCTCTCCCTTTCTCCTCAGAGAACAGGAGGTCTCTGATGGATATCAACCCACTTTAGTATAACATGTTGCAGTAGAACTAGGTGTGTCTTCTCTTGAGCCTAGACAAGGGAGCCCAGTTAGGGGAAAGGAGTCCAAAGGCAGGCAGCAGAGTCAGAGACATACCCTATTCCAGCTGTTAGGAGACTCACATAAAGACCAAGCTACACATTTGTTACATATGTGTAAGGGGCCTAGGCCCACCCCATGTGTGTTCTCTGATTGGTTGCTGAGACTTAGTGAGCCCCTGTGGGCCCAGGTTAGTTGATTCTGTCACACCAAGTCTCTGCAAAGCTGGGAACATCCTCTTCCCCTAAGGCCAGAAAAGGGAGCCCAGTCAAGAGAACATATTCCACAAACACACAACAGCTTTATGGATAGCCCCAGATCCAGCTGTTGGGAGATCCATATGCAGACCAAGCTGCATATCGACTACATATGTGTGGAGGCCTAGTTCAGCCTGTGTATGCTCTTTAGTTGGTGGCTCAGTCTCTGAGAGCCCCCAAGAGTCCAGGTTAGTTGACTCCTTTGGTCTTCCTGTGGAGTTCCTATCCCCTTCAGAGCCCTAAATCTTTCTCCCAACTCTTCCATAGGAGTCCCCAAGATCTGTTCAATGTTTGGCTTGGGATTCCGCATCTGTTTTAATCAGATGCTGGCTGGGTGGAGTCTCTAAGAGCAAAGTTATGATAAGAAAACATAACAGAGTATCACTAATAGTGTTAGGGACTGGTACTTGCCCATGGGATGGTTCTCAAGTTGTGTCAGTTATTGATTGGCAATTCCCTAAGTCTCTGCTCCAATCCCATCCCTGAATTTCTTGTAGATGGGATAAATTTGGAGTTAAAAGTTGTGTGGGTGGATTGGTGTCCCTATAGCTCTACCAGTGTTTCTGCCTGGCTACAGGGGTGAGCCCCTTCAGGTTTCATATCCTCACTGCTGTCTCAGCTAAGGTCACCCTCCAATGATTCCTGGCAGCCTCCACCATCACAGGTCTCTGGCACATCCTCAAGATGCCCCACACCCCTACACCCCAGTCAGCTGCAGATTTCTATTCATTCTCCTGACCCTCTGGCCCTCTTGTCTCTCCCCTCACCTGCTCCTAAATCCCCTATTCCCCTTCCCATCCCCTCTTCCACCTCGTTCCCTCCCTTCATCTGCTGCCTATGACTATTTTATCCCCCCTTTTAAATACGATTCAGACTTCTTCTCTTGGGCCTTCCTTCTTGTTTAGCTTCTTTGGGTCTTTGGAGTAAAGCATGGGTATCCTATATTTTGTGGCTGATAGCCACTTACAAGTAAGTACATACCATGCATGTCCTTTTGAGTCTGGGTTACCTCACTATGATATTCTCAAGTTTCATCCATTTGCTTGAAAAACTCATGATGTCTTTGTTTTTAATAGCTGAATAGATATGTCAAGATAAAAGCAAATTTAAACAATATCTATCCACAAATTCAGCCCTACAGAAAATACTAGAAAGAAAACTCCAACCCAAGTAAGATAACTACAACCAAGAAAACACAGGAAATAAATAATTTATTTCATACCAGCAAAACCAAAACAAGGGAAGTACACATACACACACACACACACAAACACACACACACACACAAACACCACAACTATAAAAATAACCGGGATTAACAATCACTGGTCATTAATATCTCTCAACATCAATGGACTCAATTCCCCAATAAAAAGACACAGGCTAACAGAATGAATGCAAACATGGGATCCATCATTCTGCTACGTACAAGAAACACACCCCAGCCATAAAGATAGACATTACCTCAGAGTAAAGGGCTGAAAAAAACTTTCCAAACAAATGGACCCAAGAAGCAAGCTGTAATAGGCATTCTGAGATATAATAAAATAGAGTCTAAACTAAAATGACTCAAAAGAGATGGGGAAGGACACATCATACCCATCAAAGGACAAATCTAAGATGACATCTCAATTCTGAACATATATGCACCAAACACAAGGGCATCCACATTTATAAAAGAAACATTGCTAAAGCATAACTCACACATCAAACCCCACACATTAAGAGTGGGAGACTTCAACACCCCACACTCACCAATCCACAGGTCATCCAGACAAGAACTAAACAGAGAAAAAATTAAACTAGCCGATGTTATTAATCAAACAGATCTAACACATATCTACAAACATTTCACCCAAACACAAAAGAATATGCCTACTTCTCAGCATCTCATGGATCTTTCTCCAAAATTGAGCACATAATTGGTCACAAAGTAAGCCTCAACAGATACAAGAAGATTGAAATAAAGCCGTGTATCTCATCAGACCACCATAGATTAAATCTGGATTTCAATAACAATAGAAACATCACAAAGCCTACACTCATGAAAACAACAATGCTCTATTCAATGATCTCTGGGTCAGGAAAGAAATGAAGAAAGAAATGAAAGACTTTCAAGAATTCAATGAAAACAAAGGCATAACATACCCAAATTTATGGGACACAATGAAAAGCAGTGCTAGGAGGAAAGTTCATAGCACTAAGTGCCCCCATAAAGAAATTAGAAAGTTCTCATATCACCAATTTAAAAGTACACTTGAAAGTTCTAGAAGAAAAGAAGCAAGTGCAACAAAAAGGAGTAGAAGGCAGGAAATAATAAAAATCAGGCTGAAATTAACCAATTAGGAACAAAGAAAATGATACAAGAATCAACAAAACCAAGAGCTGGTTCTTTGAGAAAATCAACAAAATTAGACAAACCCTTAGCCAAACTAACAAAAAGACAGAGAGACAGTATCCAAATAAACAAAATCAGAAAAGTAAAGGGAGACATAACAGGCAACAAAGAAATTCAAAGAATCATTAAGGCTTCTTCTTTTTAATTTATTTATTTACTTTATGTCCCACATGTCTTAGTTAGCGTCCCTTCCCACATGTCTTAGTTAGGATTTTACTGCTGTGAGCAGATACTATGACCAAGGCAATTCTAATAAAGATAACATTTAATTGGGACTGTCTTACAGGTTCAGAGGTTTAGTTCATTATCATCGAAGTGGGAACATGGCAGCATCCAAGCAAGCATGATTCAGGAGAAGCTAAGAGTTCTACATCTACATCTTCATCTGAAGGCTGCTAGCAGAATACTGATATCTAGGCAGCTAGGCTAGGGGATCTTAAAGCCCATGCCGACAGTGACACACCTACTCCAACAGTGCCACTCCCTAGGCTGAGCGTATACAAACCATAACATTCTGCTTCCTGGCTCCTATAGACTTGTTGAAACATATGAGTCTATAAGGGTCATACCTAAACATACCATACTAGAAAAGTACATTTAGTCCAACTTCCAAAGTCCCCATAGTCTACAGCAGTCTCAACAATGTTAAAGTCCAAAGTTCAAAGTCTCTTCTGAGATCCATCCAATCACTTAACTGTGATCCCCAAAGCAAGACAGGAAACTAGCTGGGCAAACTCCAAACTCTGCATCTCTATGTCTGGATGTTAAAGTAGTTTTCAGATCTCCAACTCCTTTTTCATCTTTGTAGACAGCTACAAACTTGTCTCCTGGGCCAGTCCCCCACCCTGTTAGCAGTTTTCCTCAGTAGATATCTCATGGTTCTGACATCTGCAACATCTTTGGGGTCTCCAAGGCAACTTCAAAGTTATAACTTCTTCTTTTCTTTTTTTTTTTTTTCTTAGTTTTTCGAGACAGGGTTTCTCTGTGTAGTCCTGGCTGTCCTGGAACTCACTCTGTAGACCAGGCTGGCCTCGAACTCAGAAATCTGCCTGCCTCTGCCTCCCAAGTGCTGGGATTAAAGGCGTGCACCACCACCGCCCGGCCAAAGTTATAACTTCTTGTTTCAGTGTCTGAGATCCACAGATGATCTTCTGGGCTCCTCCACAGAGCTGGTGTCACTTCTCCAGCTCTGCCCTCTGCAGTACTCTAAGTGCTCTAAGCTCAGATTGATCCACTCCATTGCTGCTGCTGCTCACTCCGACCCAAAGGCCTTTCACTCATTTATCATAGGTAAGTACACCGTAGCTGTCTTCAGACACCCCATAAAAGGGCATCAGATCTCATTACGGCTTGTTTACAGCCTGATCTTATGGAGGCATCTCAGTTGAGGCTCCCTCCACTCAGATTACTCCAGTTTGTATTAAGTTTACATAAAAACTAGTAAGCACAGACACTCTACATACATAAAACATTCATCCGCCTGCCTCTGCTCCCAAGTGCTGGGATTAAAGGCGTGCGCCACCACCGCCCGGCGACAATGTTTTTATTGTTAAAAAAAAAAAAAAGATGTACAGTACACAGCTATTTGTTTACAACATAATTGTCCCCAGAGTGATCTCAGGAGTCTATAAGAGCTCATGGTCCTTGGTCCTCCAATCTTCCTCTAGAAACAAGGCCTTCTGAAAACTAATAATTGATGAATTACCCAAAGTCAGATGTTCAAATAGGACACCACTTTTTCCTTCCACTGGCCTCTTAGAACAACGGAATGAGCTCTGAGAAGCAGAGAGAATGGTGCTCACTGGTGAAGTCATTGCTTCCTCCATCTCAAACTTGGTTTCTTCCATAGTTGGGGCTAGGGAAATCCCTACCAGCCAAGTGCCAGATCTTCTATGGTGTCTTCCTGAGATGAAATTAATTCCTCTTGTCTTCTCATCAAACAACTGGAACTCATGTGCACTAAGAAAATATATGTTCTCACTCTTCACTGTCTCCTTGCAAATACCTGGAGCCCATTCCTCCTCTGTCTTCACATCAGCTTCCCAGTGGATCTTCCTCCTGACTGGCTCCTTGCAAATTCTTGGAGCCCATTCCTTCCCTTTCTTCACATCAACTTCCCAGTGGATATTCCTCCTGACTGG